AATAAAGGTTACATGTTAGATAAATAGTGAGTCTCATATCTACATTGAAAATCACATACAAGCTACCTTGGACAAAAATACCAGAGTGTGAAGGGAAAACCAGAATTATAACTGGCATGCAGGATACTGATAAACTGGGACGAGACATAAGAAAATGAACCTGGAGAAAAGGATCAAAACTGGGTTTATGCGGCAGCAATGTTTATTGTCTCAGAGAAGGAACAAGCAGAGTACCCACTAAGAATCTCATGGAAATGGCCCACGTGCAGAAGAAAGAAAAACAACTATTGGAACCACTATGAGAGGCCCAAACCATTAAGAGTAACCCAGCAGCCATTGGGAACTACAGTCTACTTTCTTGTGCATTTATTCTAAGAAGCACCAGATTCTTTAGGAAATTAGTTTTCTTCTCCCCTAAATTACAAAAGAATATATATGTGACTAAATTTGTGTTTGCACCTCTAGGTAAAAAAACCCCAACACAAGAGGATTTGCAGAATTTGCTGAACACCAGCAATTCTTTGAAGATGACAGCAGGTAGCAAATATCTAGCATTTCTGAGAATTAGGAGCTGCAATACACATTTTTTTTCTTTTCTCTCCAGATTCAGAAAAATCTTCGGCAATGTCCCACCAATAGAGACCACACTTTCCAAGACAACTCAGGAAAAGTTGAAGAGGTTTTCAGAAAAAAAAAAAAAAAGAAGGTTTTCAGGTTTATTTAATTTCTTGTCCTTACTGCAGTATACAGGTTAAGAGGGAATGGTAAGTCTGCTATAAAGAATGCAAAAAAAAAAGGAAGATTAAAAGAAATGCTGTCTTTGAAGTCTGAAAGTAGAAAAGAAAGAGAACGTACTTTACTTTTAGACACAGTGATGTTCTGTCACTCACTGTATACATAGCAAAGGTAACTCCCTTTTCCCTCAGGTATATCTTACTGCTTTGGAAATACGTCCCCTTCCTCTCACTCTCATTTGGTGTAAATTATTTCACCTGGTTCAGGTGATGCAAACTCAGGCTCCACATCTGGTTAGCACCTTGCAAACAGTCTTCCTTATTGCCTCCGCAAGTAAGACTAAACTCCCACATACTAAGGCTGAGCCTCACTCCCTCTCAACAGAACCCACTAGCACAAAGAGGGGCGAGTGGAGCACCTGGGATGCAGGTGAGATGGCAGGGACAACGCTGAGGCACGGGGAACACACACAGCCCAAATGCAGCATCTTTATTGCTACTGAAAAGCTTCATTACACTGGCAACCTGTGGCTCAGCATGCTTCACAGGGACCCCACGGTGCTCTGATGCAGTGAGGCTGTCCTTCAGCTCTGAAACCTCACACACTCCCCCTCTTCCCCCAGTTCTCCTATCCCCACCTGGGGAAACTTGAGGCTACTTCAGCTGCAGAGATTTGTTTTTCCCCCAGAGGGATGATCATTACATACCTAGGAAAGAGATTAAATCCCCTAAAAGACACCAAGAGCTGGAACTGTTACAGAGGAAAGCAAGCTGCATGCCCTTCTACCCAGGCAGCTCTCCTCCACTGGGCAGACACAAACGGCACCTAAGCTGTGCTAGAAAATGACTATTTGCAACAGCAAGCCAACCTGCCCTGTAGGAAAACCCAGGGACCAGCGGGCATCCCCCTGCCCTAAGGAAGCGCAGTGGGTGGCTCTCAGAGCCGCACCAGCTGACTGTCAGAGCGGGCATGTCACCACGGCTCTTGCCAAGACTTACTGCGTTTAACCACGGCCAGCAGCTGATAGAGAGGACAGCAGGGATGAAACATCCAGAAACCCAGGAGCCCACAGGAACTTGCAGCCCACAAGCCTCTAATAATTTTTTTCCTTCTTTTTTTTTTTTTTTAAATTCTGAAGGCATGTGACTGGTCTTCACATACCAGAGCTGACCACTCCCAGAGCCAGCAATTTCCTGAGAGCAAAGAAGGATGTTACTCTCCCGCTTATTCATTACAAGACTAGGTTTCTCTGCTGTTACGGCATTACAACCTCACGCCATCTAGGGTCCATGCATCAGTTACACTCAGGATCCCTCCAAAGAGATCCAAAAAGTGCTGTAGTTCTCAGCTACCTGTTATCAGGAGGGCATGGCCATGGGTGGCACCTGCTTCTCCTTTCCTAATTGGCACATAGCTTTCAGTTTCCAGGTATAAACCATTAACTCTTTGCTCTCACATCAGTCCTCCCCTTCTGTACCAGACCATGAAGAATGGCCAGAATTGCACACTCTGTTCCCCCATAAATTAGTCCTGGTACTTGGAAGTGAGCACTTTTCCACGCATTTCTTATGTCCCCCAAATACCACCATACAGGGAGATACTGAGGTTTTGGTTTCAGTTTTTATTCACTTGGGTTGGCAGTGTGGTTTCTGGAAAAGGGAGGTTATGATTCTTGTTGTTCTACACTGCAACACTGCATTGCTTTGGTCCCAAGTCCCCCACATCCTAAATTCTCTAACTTCGCTTTCCACTTGCCACTATTCACAGGCTGAAACCCCACACCTCCTTCCATCCCTTCAGGTTGGGGTCCTCCAGCTGCTCCCCTGCCTGCACCCACCCTCCAGTGATTTCCCATCACAGGGTGGGCAGAGTGAATGCAGCAGCCCCTGGCTTCGGGGAGAGCCGGCAGCTGCGCAGAGGGCACAGAGACCTCCGGTGGCTCTGCGATATATCGCAGGTGAACTGCTGTCCGCAAACTCCTGCGGCAGGATACAGGACCAGGGAGCACTGCCTGGATCTGGCAGGGCTTGCCTGCCTTCCCCACCTTGTTCTCAGGGAGAGCTGGATCAGTTCAGCGGGTGCCCCTAGATGCTCTGCAGCACCAGGCAGGCACTTCACATGGGAAACTACAGCCTGAATGCAACCGCAGGCCCACAGCTCCGTAGGAAACAAGGACTGACAGCGGCAGGCATAAAGGCGCTGCAGTGGTCACGGCACACAGATCACACTTGTGGACTTGTAGTTGAAAAAAACAAGTCTGGGATTGCTTCAGACAACACAACCACACATGCAAACTCTTAGAAACAGTAGCCATGGCTCAGGCGGCTATTTCCGGTTCACCTAAGGATCACAGTGGCTGTCTTGTCCCCTCTGCAAATAAATCCCACGTGGCCCCCAGCATGCACACAGTGCTCCTCGGCCACACACTGTAACACTGTGATTCATCACTGGCTCCAACGATATAGCACATGCAATCTGTCAGTCACCTGTACCCTGCTGCAGTACAACATGATATTAGAATATCATGGAAGGGAGGGTGGTTAATAAGGTCATTGTCCAGAGAATTACCCTGTTGGCCACACCTGTGGCCAACAGTGCCACAGCTACACTCTTAGGCACCCACCTTAATAGAGCAAGCCCTCGCGGCTTGTCCCTAACAGAGCCCTGTAAACTACAACAGCAGAGCTTCCCAACAAACCTGCTGTTGGGGACACTTCTATCTCCTTTTTTTTATTAAGGGGGGAAAAAAAGAGAATTTAAAAATCCTCTGTTGGTTTATCACTATGGCTGCAAACTTAAACTAAAATTAACTTAATTCCTGGGGAAATACACACTAGGCAGGCACCTAACGTGTCTATCAGCATTATCTAAACACACCTTGTCTGCATGATATTTTCTGTCTTGATAAGACAAAAGGGCTTTACTCGACAGTACTTTTTAGATAATAGATGCTGCAACAACGAGGTAACAGAATCAGGGTCTCTATGTGCTGCTTGTCCTCCACTGTCCAGTCTTACAGTAATCTCTGGTTTCAGTATGAGTAAGGAGCTGAAAGTGTCACGACTGACCTCAGTTTCTGGCTCCGTACTGGCTGCAGCAGATCAGCAATCACTTATTGCCTACTAGTACCAAACAACTCAGGGTCATGGAGGACTTAAACACTTTTTTCCAGTATGGAAAAAACAGTCTAAACTGCGAAGTCCTTCCGCCTGTTCTTTTAAGAGCAAATCATGCCTTAATCCATAAAGTTAGCAAAACTGCTTCTGCTCAAAGGACTTCTCTCACACTAGTACAAAAGGAATAAAACAGATAAAAGACCTCCTGCCACTGACTACCAGGAAAGCTCAGACTAGACTAGTCCCATCCCAGGGAACAGTCTAAGGCCTCTTGGATAATGCCCTGTCCCTGGAGGATGGAGAGATGAGGCAGTTTTGTCACCCATAAGGTGACACCCCTCCACAGATTATTGGTTTTCTCTCAACTCCCCACTTTGCCTGTTCCTACCTTTCACTCTCCCCACCCTCCTTGACAACACACCATGAAGAAAGTTTTCTCACAGAGTTGAGTTTCTACAATTACACAGTATTTTCTCACTACTTAGCCTAGTTTTTGCTTCCCACATGACACTTCCCTTAATAGATTTTCTTATCTCTCCCTTTACCTAAATGGAAATTATTAATGTTTTTGCAATGCTCCCTTCTCTCTCAATCAGTAATTACCGCACAAATGAAAGAACAGTCTCTAATCCCATGGACATGATGGGAACAAAACCTTGTGCCAGTTAACATAACCAGCAAAACTCATACTGACCTCAAGAGAGGAAATGCTATGCCCAGAGACACACCTTTAACATCCAAATTTCAAACTGCATTTGGACAACTCATCCGTGTGCACACAGTGTTATTGTTCCTAAAACTGCTGCTAACAAATTCAGGTATAACTGGAGCTGAACAAGGTTCATCTGTAACCAGTAACTAACTCCTCTGGGGACAGGTCCCAGAGATGCAACAATACCGGCCAGCCTTTTACTGACTTAAATATCACCTACGAAACTTTTGTAAAGTAAATTTGCATCTTTCTAATGAATGGCAGGTTTGGATGTCTCACTTCTCTCTTGCAGCTCACTCTGTTACACTGGGAATTATTCTGTGTTGAAAATGTGCAGCGTTGAGAGAGGTAGAACTACACCTGCAACACTCCACTGAAGCAAACAGACATCAGGGAAAAATCAGCAGGCACACAGAAAGCTCACTCACTGCTTTTACCTTTCCAAACGAGGGACTTCTGTGACGTCTCCTCTGAAGAGTGTTTCACTTACATCCCTTAAGCCATTGGCGATGCCTTCACTGCAGACCTTCACCTCCCCATCAGGGGGAAGCTGCAGGACATCTGGCTGCGGCGAGGCTGACGTCTGATCTAGAAACTGGCTGCCCTCCTTCATGCGCTGCTGGATCATAGGAGTAAGTGGCATCTCAAAGCTGAAGTAGCTATCGGGCTCCGAGTACAATGTCTCCAGCGACTCCGCACTGTAGTATAAAGATGCATTGTCTAGAATGTTTTCAAACTGCGAGCTGTAGAGATCAGTGGAGACATCGGAGTGCCTCTGCCCAAGGACATCTTCATATCCTCCTGTGGCAGCTTTCCCATCCTCCATCATCCTGGAAATTAATCAGAAACAGCTCGTTTCAGCTTGGGGGCAAGGTTTAGACCTCTGGGTGAACCTTCGCGCCTTCCACCTTTGCAAACAGGAAGGTCAGTGTGGCTTCCTGCAGGAGAGGACACTGTGGGTAAAATGCCACTTTCTCCATACACCATCTCTGTTCATGACTGGCACCATCTCCCTCTATGGACATAAAAAGAAACAATCTTCTGGGTAAAAGGAGGGTGTGGGGGGAAACCCTAATATTGCCTAACAGGTAACCTCAGCTGCTTACGTGTAAAAGCGAAGAGCACTCACAAATGCATAAGGTCTCCGCTAGTACCACTGCCATGCACAGATTGGAGATGTGCACCCAGATGGGGCCTCTGTCCTTGGAGGTCATTCTGCTGGCTCATTCAGTCCTAGGGCTGGGGTCTATGGCAAAAAGCTGGAGGAAATCCCTCCAAAACACAAAGGGAAGAAAATGCAGCTAAAAGCCCAGAGCCAGGAGAATCAGATTTGAAGGGGAAGACTCAGCCTGCTTGCAGATGCACAGGGGAAGGTGTAGCATCTCTTTGTGGAGAGTTTTCTTCTTTGCTTCACCAAATACTGCAGAGCTTCTCAAGGCACGTGCCAGGAGTCAGTGCTACTCATCCAAGTGACCCCACACACAAGCCAAAGCAAAACTCCACGGATCCTGAGGTACGGAAGCGGGAGTGCCTCCCTGTTGAGAACCTGTTGTTTCAGCAGCGAACACCCCATCAGGTCTGAATGAGCATGGTTGGCTCAGAGTGTGGCAATTGGGACCCTTTGCTTTGTTACAGATGTGTATCAGAAAAGAAAAGTGAGCAAATCAAGATTATCTTCTGAAAAGCATCACACAATTTTTGCAGTATATACAGCTAAAATTATATAAACACATACAGACAGATAATATAGAAAGCACACTATAGCCTTTACCCTCTTATAGAAGGCACCAGGTAAAATGTCTTTATTATCCCACCTCACAGGGGTGCTCACACCGTTCTTGCACAAACTCTGCCCAAACCCAGAAAATCTGGCTGTGTGCATACAGCCAGGCCTGCATGCTGCCTATGCTTCATTACGTGCTATGTCTGGATCCCAACTACACTCACTACAGATGCTTCACCACACAGCCATTACTCTGCAAACAGCAAGAAACATCTTTATGTTTCCAAACCTGAGATGGGCTTCAAGCCGGTGTGAACCATGTTCAGTCCAAACTTCAAGCACTAGCCACCACCAGGCATGAACTGCTACCATTGCCACCATGCCACAGGCAGCAAACATTTGTTGTTCATCATTAGCTCCTCAAGGGCCACGTACCTGGGATGAGAGAAACCCCGCCTGCCCCCCATGCACCATCTCACCTGCCCTGGCCTCTCGCTAGCCCAGCCACCTCCTCCTCACCACGGTTCTTCTTGTCCTTCACAAAAACTTCACTTTCATCAAGCAGTGCCAAAGGAGCAGCTCCAGAGGCAGCAGGTCCCAGCCTTGAGTCCTCACCGCCATCACTCCAAGTGCTCTCTGGTGAGGAGACCAAGCCTGGGGAGACCATCAGTAGTGCAGGGTGGCTGGATGTTTTGGGGAACGCCTTCCTCTCCACAGACACAGTCTCCAAAAGTGAGTGCTTCTTTCTTCTCTGCTCCTCGGCTTTTTGCAGCCATAAGATCTCCACCCCTTGAAATTCTACATGCTTGCTCACAGCTGCCTCTTTAGAGAGTCTCCTCTCAGGACCCATTTGCATTCTGCCTTGACTGTACGCTGAAGACTCCTCAAAATGCGCCCATCCCTCCACTCTGCTGGCTCTGTCCAGGTTTGTCACAGATGGTCTATGACAGCTTGTCTCCTGTGCTGTGTGGACCTCCTCGACTTTATTACTGATGGCTTGCAAGGACTCAGACTGCTTTTCTCCAGTCCATATTGCAGCCAGATCTCTCCCTATGATCAAATGCATTTTTTCCTCAGCTGTTCGTTCAGATGGAAGAGGCATGTCTGAGGGTTTTTCTTGGCCTGCTGGAACTGGTTCCTTGGCTGCTTGCACATTTTGGCTGCCAGTAACACTCTTTTTTTCCATTTGCATCTCTGAATCAAGAAAAGTATTTGCTCTCTCTTGCACCTTTTTTGCTTCCAGCCGTCGAGAGATTTTCATAATCTCTGGCAGGTTACCTGCAGTTTGCAAACCTTCTTCAGGGGAGCATACCCGCAGTGCTCCAGCATCAGGTCTCGAATTGTCTGCAGCAGCTGCATGCTGAGGAAGGGATCTGCCAGGTACTTGGTGGTGCCTGTCCCGCCCTTCTGGACTGCACATCACAGGCTCTGCCTGGCACAATGATGAAGCCCTCAGTGTGTCTCCACTTGGCTCTACGGTGCCGTACTCTGGAAACTCATTGATGATGGTATGAGGGAGCAAAGTGCTGCTTCCACGGCCACTACCTGGAAAGAAAAAAGAGCGTGGGTTTATCTCCCATGTGCAGAGGCAAAAAGCCTGACCTCCCTTCCCAGCCCTCTCCTAACAGAATAACTATGCTCTCTCCTACAGGTAAAATACTATTTAGCTTAACTCACTTCTGCACGATCTCACACTGCAGTTATCCAGAGCTGGTCTATTTACATAGGAGTTTCTGGGCAGTTTTACTTTGGGAGTGTTCATTGCTGAGGAAGGAATGCCAGAAAAGTCTTTTACACTCCAGAAAGGGTCCCAGTGGCCCACCAACGGTCTGAGGCCACAGGCCAGGAGCAAAGGCTGAAGAAAGCAGATATTCAGAGGTCTGACATCCATCCACAGCATGTGCCATACATGTTGGATTTATTTAAAAGGAATAGTTTTAGGTCATTTTCACTTGTAAAGATGAAATACTGGGAAGATCATCAGCCACACCCCATATATTCCACAGCCCTGACAAAACCAATTAGCTAAATTACAAAGCAATTAATGAGCAATTCAACTTTCTGCCAGCGCTACCCTCTTCCTTTAACAACACAGCTAACTCAAGGTCGTGTTGCAGTGATGTATGCATATCGAGCAGTTAACATTTTCTGTTGCAGTAAACTCACCACTGCAAAAATGGCTTACTACCCCTCCCCTCTTCATGCTGCTTTTCCAACTGATGTAAACAAAGCAGGAGTGAAAACGGATGGTCTTGTTTTCCATGCGCCGAGCACCCAGTGGCTCCCATTGTTTCGCAGTAACAGAGAACCAGCTGTCCTCAGAGGGACCTCATGGATGGCACAATGATGGATACTTGGCCACCTTATATCATGGCCCAAGGAGCAATTGAGCTTTTGAAAAAAAAAAAAAAAAAAAATCAGCAACAGCTGCATCCACTGCACCCTTCTGGAAAAAGGTGGCCCAGAGTACAAAAGTGCTTTAAAACAATGAGGGGCCCAGATCCAAACACCCACTCTGAAAAATGTCAGGAGGCAGCACTTCTGAAACCAGATACCAAACTGCAGTTGGATGCTTTGCCCCACTCAAGGTGCATCTCCAGATGCTGTGTTGCAAACAGATCCCCATCTATGCAGGGTGGCCACAAACCATTTCTGAGGAGAAAGCCATGTAGCTGTGGTTAATGATAGGCCAAGTTCAAGGTGCAAGAGAGGATAATTTAACACGAGCTCAGCACCACACTAATGTGGCTATCTATCTGTCAGTGGTTTGTTAAGAGCAGCAACAGCTCACATGGGACAAGTCACTATCCAGTATATCCAGCCATGGAGTAAATACCGCACGTTGTGCATGGTGCAGGACCAAAAGGACAGATTTGGACCATGCCACACCACAGTCTCTTTCCCAGTAGGTTCTCCAGATACTTCCATGCTGTTGATTTAATCAGTCCATAATTAAAACTTCAGTGGGTCAGGTTTCAGCTAGACAAGGGGTTGCTGTTGAGGACAGCAACTGGACAAAGCACAGACATTTTCTCTGCTGCAAGGTTCCAAGGAGTTGTGAGAAGCATGGATGGCCTGTCCACTTCTGCATCGCCAGCCTGCCTTCATGGCAGGGTTTCCAACACATAGGTGTGGGTGCACTGGGAGAGTCTGAGAGTGCAGTCAC